TCTAAATTATAATAGTGATTCTTAAAAGTGAAAGAGACAAATGCTCTTAAAGTTCATATGTATGAATTTTTACATCTTAATTTTAAATAATATCTTTTTTAATCAAATTATTATATCAATCTAAAGGTATTAATTAAGAGTAAGTGGTAAAAATTTAAATTCATATACTATTATGATAAGTTTAACAATTTTCTCATTCTTGAATGCTATTGTGTAGACTAAGGCCCATTCATTTCACCGATTCAAGTTTTGTTATAGTAAAATGTTCTCAAAAATAGTTAGATTTACTTTTTTACTACAGTAAAAAAGCTCTCACATAAAGTCACATCTCAACTCGAATCAACGAATTAAACGGACCCTAAAATTTTGAGTCAGACCAAAAGGGTAGATATGAGCCTGTTATTATTGGCTCCCACAATATCTCATTTAAATTAGGCCTTTGATCGTGTTAGGTCGGCTCAATCTAGTTAAGTGTTATAGCATTGAGTTCAGTACATTACTCATTTATTCATGGGTCGTGCCGCTAACATGTTATGTTTGTGTTTTACTTTTAACGTGTACTTATCATTCTCAAAAATAAATTTATAATTAAACAAAAAAAAAGCACGTGGTTAAAATACACCTCTTTTTAATGTGACTAAAATACCCATCAATACAATTACTTTTTAAAGACAATAATATTTTAAGAAAATATTCATTACACAACCCACCATTAAAATAATATATTACCTTCTAAATTTTACCGTGCCTTAATTTTTCAGAGTTGAATTCCAACGTAAAAAAGTCTTTCCACAAAAAAGTACATGGTTAAATTTTTTTTTCTTAAAAATTCTATTTTTTTTAATTCAATTTTTGATAATTCATGATTCGTAAAAAATTTTTTGAAGAAAAAGATTCGTTAAAGAACCTCCGACATGTGGACTTCACTATGATTGAAGATGATATTGTTGGAGGTAAGTACAATGGAGGTTCATCGTCGCTGAAAGTTTCTAAAATAACTATGGCGACGAATGCACCTCGATTACGAAATTAGTTAATAAATATTTTTGATATTCTTATGATTTGTTCTATGATGGGAGGAATTATATAATGATCTGTGTAGCCTTCTTCTAAAGTTAGTGTAGAGCAAGCTTTATTAATGATAGATTGCACAGTTTTACCGAACATGACTGCTTTTGTTCTTCATGTGTTATTTTCAATGTGAACGTTGATTTTGTACCTGTTTAGGAAAACAAAAATTATGTTTATATTAAAATTGCAAAAATATTGTTATTTTTTTATTATAATAATACGTTATTACCAAGTAAGTGACATTGTAGATAAATATTAATCTGTATCATACCACCAAGATGTTCCTAATTCTCTTACTTGTCTATAATATTTTGTACATGCGTAGTAAAAGCATCCTTGGTATGCATCAATTTTGGTAATTGTTGGTCTTGTAGAATAGAAAAGACAATTTTTTTACTTTATTTTATGTAAATAAGAAATGAAATATGGTATATTTAAAAAATGTTATCTGATTTTGAAATGGGTCTAATGCTCGCAATTCCGCAATGGTTATACGATTCTTGCTGTTTTGTTCCTCCAATGGTATTATTTATTTCGTTGATGGGGCAACATATTCTAAAGTTTAAATTGAATGACGGAATCTATAGGAAGAAAATATGTAAATATACATGAATATGTTAAAAAATGAAAAATAAAAATATATAAATATGGATAATAATAAATTCATTATTGTTTCTCATACATTTTTTTTATTGTTCTTATTTCTGTGACATATGGATCCAAATAATAAAATATTTTTATTATTTGGCACGACCGTTTAGGTCATCCAGGTTCGATAATGACGTGAAAAATTATAAAAAATTCACATCGACATTCTTTAAAAAATCAAAAGATTTTTTTGTCCAAAAAATTTTCATGTGCTACTTATTTTCATGGAAAACTTATCATAAGGCTATTGACAATAAAAGTTGCAATTGAATTTTTTCTAATTTTAGAACCAATTCAAATAGATATATGTCGACCTATTACTCCATCATGTGGATTATTTTAATACTTTATAGTCCTAATAAATGTTTCTGACACATTGGTCACATGAATTTGTTTATTAGCATGTTGTGTCCTTTTAATCGCATCAAGTCCACGCCATTTAATAATTGTACTGATTTGTGTAGGTGTATCGTTTTCACTTTTTAGGCCACGTTTGTTTCTTAAATTTGAGTTTTTAATTTAAGTTGATATGTGATATTTTTTAAAAATTTTTAACTGTAGCAGAAAAAATTAAATATGATATTTTCTGAAAATTTTTAACTGTAAAAACGTAAAATTAAAAACTCAAATTGTTAAAATAAACGAAGTAGTGTGACTTGTGCTCAGTAGCTCTGGCCCTTTTTATTGCTTGAACAGTTATTCAAATATGAGGTCTTGAAGAATTTTTAACTGTAAAAACGTAAAATTAAAAACTCAAATTGTTAAAATAAACGAAGTAGTGTGACTTGTGCTCAGTAACTCTGGCCCTTTTTATTGCTTGAACAGTTATTCAAATATGAGGTCTTGAAAATGGTTTAAATATAGTTTTTTTTTCATTTTGCATTAGTTTTTGAAGATTTTTTTTTTTAAATTTTGAATTAACTTTATCGAAAGTAATAGATAGACTATGCCACTCTTGTTAATACTTCCTTATTGCCGGAAGTGAAAAAATGAAAGTAATCTGAAATAGGGCTAAATACTCTCTCTTATATGGACACTGGTAAGACCGCGCGCACGCGTTTGACAATTTCTAAAATAATGATTATACAAATTCTTAGAAGGAAAAAAAAAAAGAGAGAGGAGGAAAAAAAAAACAAAGAAACAAAGACAAAAAACAAAAGAGAGGAAAAACTAAAAACAAACAAAAGGGAAAAAGTTTAAAAAAGGTAAAAGAAAAGAAAAAGAAATTAAAATTTTTTAAAATAATGGTAAAAAATTAGTTGAAAAAAAAAGAAAAAGAAAAACAACAAATTTTTTTTTTTAAAAAATGTAACAAGGAAAGGAAAAAAACAAAAAGAATAATACAAAGTCTGAGCAAAACTGCCATACATGAGAAACACATTCTCTTTTAGGTAGAGTGTGTAGATATAGATATAGATTTGGGCACTGTATTGTATTGGAGTACATTATAATGAAAAAGAATAAAACAACTGATTGAGTGGGTTCTGTTATTTTCAACCGAAAATTATTGTTTATCTAGCTTTGGTCAAGACTAAAAATGGATGATTGATAATTTAACGGAATTTCCCAACACCATCCCAAAACTCATGTTAATCTAAGACTCGTCATGAGATCAACATCATGAGCCAATAATTAATCTTGGAATGTTATATAATTAATATGGTATGTTAACTTAGATATATGGAATATAATTAGATATATTAATTAGTACAGTTAGCTAATCTATGCACTAGAACAGAAAGATAAATATAATGGACCACATTATTAGTTTCATTTTACTTGGAACATGTCAAATTCATTAGAGATGCAATAACAATCGATACTACTTATAAGATTAATAAGGCCCGGTTTATTTCAAAAATTCAAGTTTTCAATTCAAATTTTGTTACAGTTAAAAGCTCTCATAAAAAGTCATATTTAACTTTTTTTTGTTACAGTGAAAAAATTCTCACATAAAATTACATCTCAACTCGAATTGAAAAGTCAAATCCGCGAACTGTAAGTAAACCACGCGAAAGGCAGGTTGAGTTTTAATTCTAAAAAAAAAATAATAAATAAATAAAAACTAAAGGCGCCCAAACGGCTACTTTAAACAGACATGGCAATCAAAGAGCAATCATTCAACCCGAACTCAAATCTCATATCAAATTTTGGTGTTCTATTGTCTATCTAACCAGTATGTCCATGCAACACCATCTTCAATATAAAACGAATATCATTAAGTTATAATTTTATATTGCGTGACTTAAATACATGGAGAAAGAGAGAACAATCTTAATCTAGCAAAAAGCTTAGGTATATATTTTGCTCATTTCTTACATAGATCTAATTAATTTGGAACTAGTGAGACTAATTAAACTTCAAGGATAGTGGGAATGGCAGTAAATTGAGGGTGCATTGGAGAGGATAATCAAAATTTTAATTTTTAGTATTTTAAGAAGCATAACAATATCAACTGTCCTAGGCGTTGTGAAGAACTTTTTTTTTTTTTTTTTAAGATTATTTTCACTGGTGCTCCTTAAATTTTAGGATTATTCTCAGTTTGTCCCTTAAATTTTAAAAACTCACTTTGTCCCACGAACTTTAAATTGTTTTCAATTAACCCCTTTGTTGTAATTTCTGTTAAAATCATATGAAAAAAGAGAATATTAAGTGTGGTCATGTGATCTTTATTTGTTTCTTTTTAACAAAAATCTAAACAGAAACATCGCATGACTGCATTATTCTATTTTTTTAATCTATTTTTAACAGAATTATAACATAAAGGGTTAAGTGGAAATAATTTAAAATTTATAGGATAACGTGAGAATTTTTAAAATTCAGGAGACAAACTGAGATTGATCTTATAGTTCAAGGACATAAGTGATAATAATCCTTTTTTTCTGTATTAGGATCTTATATCAATAATGTATATTTCTTATCGTTGAATCTAGTTAAAATTATATTAAAATTAAAAAAAACATCATAAATAATTTCTAATACTGTTGGAAAACATAATCCTATTAATAGTGTGTATCATCAAGCCCTATAATAGAAATCTCTTTTTCTTTTTTTTTTTTTTTAATTCTCTCTTTCAAGTCCTAGGTCAAAAGTGTTGTGGAGTTTATAAAAAGCAAGCCACTTGCGAGTGGGGATTGCACTAAATTGCAGTTGGAAAGACGCTAGTCAAAGTATTCAAAGTTTCAAACCGCAAATATAAAAATAAAAATAATAATAACAATCAGTAAAGAAATATATAAATAAATAAAGCAAAACACAAAGCAGCGAAGTAAACTCACCCACAAAGACCCATATAAAAAAGAGGCGGTGTAAACAAGAAAACGTACACCAACAGGCGCAAGGCACAAGCGTTAGAGTTCGTAACTGACACCAAAAGTATATAAATAAATAAAAATAAAAATAAATACCAATCAAATATTCAATCGGAAGCCCAAAAAACGCCATCGAAAACGACCGCCAAACGAAAGTCTTTGTTTGCACAAGTTGAAGGAGAAAAAAAAAAAAAAGAAAACTTCCCCTTTTTTGGAAGAGAAAGAAGTATGAAATTTAATAAGCATTTGGGCATATAAATGTGTATATATGTATATATATGTATATGTATGGAAATGAAATGGAGAGCAGAGGCTTGAATTCAAGATTGAAGACTAAAGGGTGCTTGGTATATTTGGTGTGTTATGGAATGTCTGAGGAAGAAGAAGCAGTGCATTGAAGAAAAAAGGTTTCGGTTTTATTGTCGTTTTTGCCCTTTGCTTGGTCCACCTCACCAACCCATATTGCGATCTTTACCAAAAAACCGAATCCTTTAGTGCTTGACTGGTTTTCTCTACTCAGAGGTCATGAACTGTTTGCGGGTCTTTGCTCAGATTGCTCAAGTCTTCTTGGTCTTCTTCTCTCCAATTGGTACTTTCTCTTCTCTTCTTTTGCTTTTGCTTTTTCTTTGTGTTTGTCAATCTATTTGATTGATTTCATTTGATGGGGTTTCTTTCTTTTTTGAGTTCTTGAAATTATCTGTAGAATTTAGTAAAGTTGGTTTTGGATTCCGATTGATTTTTGAGTTTCTTGTCTGGGTTTTTGGCTTTCGAAGTTGCTATGGTGTTGATCATGGTTTTAATTTGTATTGGTTGCTTCTGCTGGCAAAATTTGTTTGTTTTCTCAATTTGGTCCTTTTGTCTTTGTGTTTTTCAATGGGAATTGCCAATTTCTTGAATTGAATTTTCTTTTTGCTCTTGAAAAGAGATTTTGACTAATCCGGACTGTGTTTTGTTTTTCTCCTACCTCTCTTTCCTTTATGGGTCTCCTGGAATTGCCCTTTTCTTTTTTATTCTCAACAGTTCTTGTATTGCTTTCATACGAAGTTTCGTTTGGTTTGAAATTTTCAAATTGGCCATATAAATATTTATATGCGTGTATATGTTATTTTTATTAAGTTCTTGATGTATGTACAGATAATATTTATTTTGTGACTTCCCTTTTAATGTATCTTTGAGGATGACTTAACTGAAATAAAACTTTCTTTGAAACTTTATATAAATGGCGACTATGATATCTTCCATAGCTTTCACTCGATGAGCTTTATATATTGACTTGGGGAATTGATGGGCAAGTATGCAGTTTGTTCTATTCAGATGAATTTAGCCAATTATTTAGTATTTGTTTTCTGCTATGTCTTGTGCACTGCCAATTGATGTAATTTTTTTTCATGGCTATTTAGGACTTTTTAATATATTTATGAATCTTTGGAGAGAAATGATATAACGTATTGGTGTTTTATCAAAAGCATTATCTTTCCTCAGATTATGTCATTTAGAAGAGACTTAATAGAAAGTATAAGTAAATAAGGTTCTAAGTTTATTTCTGTTGAAAGACAACATAGCTAATGTTGCAGTTTTCTGTTATCTTTCCAGCATCTCAGACAGTGCAAGCATTCACTGGAACTTATGGAATAAATTATGGAAGAATTGCAGATAACATCCCTTCACCCGATGAAGTTGTTACTCTTCTGAGAGCAGCAAAAATAAAGAATGTCAGGATATACGACGCCGATCACAGTGTTCTCAAGGCTTTTAGTGGGACTGGACTTGAATTAGTTATTGGACTTCCGAATCAATACCTCAAAGACATGAGTGCCAACGAGGATCACGCGTTGACTTGGGTTAGAGAAAATGTGCAGTCATACCTTCCGGAAACACACATTGTTGGAATTGCCATCGGCAATGAAGTCTTAGGTGGGGGTGACTATGAATTATGGGGAGCTCTTTTAGGTGCAGTAAAAAATATTCATAAGGCAGTAAAAAGGCTTCATTTAGCCAATGTAGTACAGATCACCACTGCACATTCACAGGCTGTATTCGCTAATTCCTATCCCCCCTCTTCGTGTACATTCAAAGATGGTGTTGTTCAATACATGAAACCTCTTTTGGAGTTCTTTTCCGAGATAGGATCCCCTTTCTGTTTAAATGCGTATCCGTTCATTGCCTATATGGGCGATCCAGAGAATATAGATATCAATTATGCCCTTTTCCAGTCGACGCAGGGGATTTATGATGAGAAGACTGATCTTCATTATGATAATATGCTTGATGCTCAGATTGATGCTGCCTATGCAGCTTTAGAAAATGCGGGATTTAAAAAGATGGAAGTTATAGTTACAGAGACGGGATGGGCTTCACATGGCGATGAGAATGAATCTTCTGCCACTGCAAATAACGCGAGAACTTACAACTATAATTTGCGGAAAAGGCTTGCCAAGAAGAAAGGGACCCCTCTTCGGCCGAAGAATGTTGTGAAGGCATATATTTTTGCAGTGTTTAATGAGAACTTGAAACCGGGGCCAACGTCTGAGAGAAATTACGGGATATTCAAGGCAGATGGCACCATTTCGTATGATATTGGATTTCATGGACTTGACTCTTCATCTGCAGATTCATTGCGTTTTTCTCTGAAGGTATAAAGTCTCATCTCCTGTAAAACAATGAATAATTTAAATCGCCTTTTGTATTGTAATTTTATCACTTATGATTAGGAACACCATAAAGAAGCACCATCAATAGGTTCATAAAGATGGTGAGCCTACAAACACACAAAATCAGGCGCACAAGTTTATTTTCCTTTTGTTTTCTGTTGTCTCTTTTCTTTGATTAATTGCTTAACAATCCAGGAAATATCAATTTCCAAGATTGATATCAACCAATAAGACGATAGGAGGGGCTCTAGTTGCTAGCTATGTGATATATGATGTATATAATTCAAGTCTTCTTTAGTACTGTCTTTACCATATGATGATCTTGTAAAACTTAATTTTCATATAGTACTTGGGATCTCAATCTTATCCCAGTCTTGTTTAGTACCGTAACGTCTTTACACTATATGGGGATCTTGTAAAACATAATTTTCGTAGAATACTGCTTGGGATCCCAACTTTTTTAATTTCAACTGATGTAGTATATAAATTATATTCTTTTATTGGCAAGTGTCTAGAAACCTGTCGCGCCAATCAACATTAAAATGTTGCGACTACCAATTAAAAGATAATAAATTGATTTCCTTGGAAAATTTTTTAGTAGTTTTTGACACTTCAACTTCAGTTTTCTGCAGCTACCCTTGACCAACTAGGTCTTCAATTACTGATTTGATTATGTTTCTGTTCAATGGACTATGTGCCAATCCTTGACATTGGGGATAATTATTAACAGGCAATGAAGAGAACTATGAAATCTGTGTTGCCATATATATCACTTAACCTTTGAATAACTTAACTCGATATGCTAAAACCTATGTATTTTCAAGATTGAAATTAAGGAAAATGAAGCAAAGTAATCTTTGCATCTTGATGATCGAACCTAATAAATAATTTTGTTGCTTATAGTGATTTCTGTATGATATTTTATTTACGAATGAGATAATCATTGTGATTTCAAGTGCTTCATAAGCTAATTAGGAGTTGTTCTTTTCTTGTTCAGTTTAAACAGGATATTCGAGCTCGAAGATGGTCTCAATGGCACTCCTTTTTATTACCATTAATATCTTCTTTAGCACTTCTTTTGCTATTAAGATAAAAGCATTAAGCAAAAACAATTAATGCCTGCGCAGAGACTCAAATCTCTTATATTGGATGCCAAAAGATCATACTCTAGTCAAAGGGCTTGAGATTGGCACTATTTCATGTCTTCTTCAATATTAATAGTACCAAAAGAACAATAATTATTGTATTACTCGAAATATATGAGAAATTACTGAATAGTTTTATTCATCTCAGCAAACGCATTTGGTCTCTCTCTCTCTCTCTCTGCGGGTTGACCCTTTTTTTTATTTAAATAATTGTAGATCACTTTTGTAGAAAATAGAAGAGAAATAGTAGGAAATAGGCTAATATGAAAAGCTTAAGAAAGTATATAGGTCAATTTTTAGTTATAGAAATTAATAGGCTATAACTTGTCAAGTTATGATTCATAACCAGATAAGTTATGGACAAACTTGTCAAGTTATAGTTCATAACCAGATAAGTTATGGACAATAACTTGTCAAGTTATGGTTCATAACCAGACAAGTTATGGACGAAAACAGTAATTTAATCTATTTATTAACTTATGTAAACTATTGATTTATTAATTTTAATTCATCTCAAATCTTAGCATATTTCTCTCTTTCTCCCAAAGTAGAAATGAATATTAACTCAAACCGTCAACATTTCTATATTAAAAAAAAAAAAAATCCTCAACCATTAACGTTTTTCATGAGGGCTAGATATCCTTTTCTTTCCTTGGTTAGATATGGTTCTTAACTCCATATATTTACTTTTAGTTATCTTTTAATTTTTTCTTTTTGCCGAATTTTTATCGATTTATATGATAGGTAGTAGAGAGACATAAAAGAGATTCACATGCTTATTAATGATTTATATAATTTTTATTTTTTATTTCTTTATTTGCTACTCACAGGACAAAGGTTGCTGAATGTGTACGCGATAATTTTTATTTTTATTCAGGTACGTTTTTATTTCTTTATTAGTTACTTTTTTTTTTCTCTGGAAATTTCATGGTTGTTTTTTTAGAGTGTAATTTGAGTGTAATTTTTTAATTGAATTTGAGTTATAACTTGAGTTAAAATTATAATTTGAATAAAGTTGAGTAAATTTAAATAAAATTAAAACTTAAAAAAACGTTAACTTAAATAAAATTGTATTCATGATTAATTATTTTTGAAAGAGATTATGATATTTGCTGATTATGTTTTATGTTTTAAGAGATTTTATGGTATGACATATGGATGAGAGGCTGGGTAAGCAGGTGTGCAAGGGACCGGTGCCCCAAATTAGAGTAACTGTCTCTTTGAGACAATTAGAGAAAAATGCTAGTGGGAAGTCCCTTGTTGATCATAAGAGAAAGAGATTCTAAAAACCCCGCTTAGTGTTTAAGAGAAGAGAATTGGCCAAAAATTAGAGAAGGTCCTGTATAGAGAGGCTTACTTGGAACCAAAGTTCTGTATCATACCTAAATTAAGAATAAATATGAAAGTTTATGAACAATGTTTAACGAAGAGATTTCAGCCGTGGAGATTTTAGATACTTACTTTATTTGAAATCTATTTACTGAGTTTTTGCTCATTAGTTTTATCTTGTGATGCAGATGATGTTGTTGTTACCGAAAAGTAAAAAAGAATGATTTCCAAGGTTGGCTGAGCACTCCAAGTACTACATCTGGCATCTTGCTTATATGTACTTCCAAACAATAGATGGGCTCAAAATATCTTTTTTTTTGTTTCTGTCACTTTTAAATAACTGTTTAATGTCTAAGATTTGTGGTTGTAATCATTTTGCACACTGACTCATTTTGTTCAAAAATCTTTATGAGAATTTTGAGATGAAATCAACCACAAGTTTTCGCATCTTAAAAATGACATTATTTTAAGTATATAAAGTATGTTTTGAGTAGCACCACCTTGCTAAATTCAGTCTCAGACTGATTTAGCGTTGGGGGCATTACAGTTTTGGTATCAGAGCCCAGTGTTTAATGTTTTTGAAGACAACAAAGTACATATAGACAAGTGGTTAGATAAGAAACTCAGCCAATCAGTAATGTTTATGATTTTCAATGTATAGAATAATATCTTTATGTTTTATATTGTATTTACATGGAATTATATTTATTATTATTAGCTTAAACCTAAAGGTTAGAAATGAGTGTTGTAGCAGAATGCCTCCTAAAAGATATGCTAGAGATCCCCCGAACGTTGACATGACTCAAATGTTTGCTAGATTAACTGCATTAATTCAGCAACAAGCTGATCAACAGAGACAACAAAATGAGTTTATGAGACAACAAATGCAAATGCACGCTGAACAGTTTTAGAAACAAATAGAGCAGTTTCATAACATGATGGCACAACAAGGAGCTCAGTATGCAAATCAGCCTCCACCGCCCCTTCGACCGCAAAGACAAGATAATTTGGAACCTCTTTATGAGCGTTTTAGGAAGCAACGTCCTAATGATTTTCATGGTGGACCTGATCCCCTAATTGCTGAAGAGTGGATCAATTCTATAGAAAGTATCTTTGACTACATGGTTATGGAAGATGCTCAACGAGTTTCCTGTGCTATTCAATTACTAAAGAATAATGCTAGACATTCGTGGGCATCTATTAAGTTGACTCCAGCTGCTACCAACGTTACTTGGAATGGTTTCAAAGAACTGTTTTACAACAAGTACTTCATTGAGGAAGTAAAGAAAAGTATAGTGGCTGAGTTTGTGGGATTAGTACAGGGTACTATGACTGTTGATGACTATGTCACTAAATTTGAAGGACTTTCAAGATTTGTTTCATGGATAGTAGGTAATGACGTGGAAAAGATGAACTTCTTTATTAAGGGTTTGAAAGCAGCTATCCACAAGGATGTGAGCATGTTGAGGCGTCAGTCGTTCAGCAAAGTAGTTGAACTGGCTTTGATATATGAGAAGGGTATTAAGAGACAAGAATTGGAGAGTGAAGCTACTTATGCCGCTAAGAATGGCCAGTGGAAACCAGGAACAACTGCAGGAAAAGGGAAACATAAGCGAAAGTGGCAACAAAATGCTGACAAGCGGCCTAAGACAGATAATTCAACTGCTAAGGAGTATCCAAAAATTCCTAAATGTGGGAAAATGCATGGAGGAGAATGTCAATATGGTACCTTTAATTGCTACACATGTGGAAAACTTGGTCACATTGCTGTAAATTGTGGAGTTAAGCCCAATGGTCAGAAGAAGACTTAAGGAAGGGTGTTTGCAATGATGGCAGAAGATGTTGAAGAAGATCCTACTGTTGTGGTAGGTACACTCTTCATTTCTGGAATGATAGCTCGCGTATTGATAGATTCAGATTCTACTCATTCATTTGCATCGCCTGCATTTGCGAATAAATTGGGTAAAGTACCAGAGATATTGAAAAGTGGGTTTAGTGTAGTTTTACCTTTTGGAGATGTGTTAAGGTCTAATAAGGTGTTGAGATCTTGTTTGGTTATGATAAATGGGAGAGAGATGTATGTGAATTTAATTGTTTTAGATATGAAAGATTTTGATGTGATTCTTAGTATGGATTGGTTATCTAAGCATAGAGCCACCATAGATTGTCATCAAAAGGCAATTATTTTTAGACCTCGAGAAGGACATCAATTCCTTTTCAGTGGAAGGTGGAAGAATGTCTCTTTTTCAATCATTTCTGCAGTGAAGGCAAGAAAAATGATTTGTAAAGGTTGTATTAGTTTCTTGGCCTCGGTAGTTGATACTTCAGTTTGGGATGAGCTAAAACCTAAAGATGTGTCAGTTGTTAGGGAGTATTTGAAAGTTTTTCCTGAAGATTTTCCTAGTCTTCCTCCGGATCGAGAGATAGAATTTGTCATTGATGTTGTTCCAGGAACAACTCCTATTTCTAAAGCACCTTTTCATATGGCACCATCAGAATTGAAAGAGTTGAAGATTTAACTTCAAGAATTGTTGGACAAAGGTTTTATTCATCCAAGTTTTTCTCCATGGGGTGCACCAGTTCTTTTAGTGAAAAAGAAGGATGGTTCGATGCGGCTTTGTCTTGATTATCGAGAATTAAACAAAGTCATGGTAAGGAACAAGTATCCTTTACCTCGGATTGATGATTTGTTCGATCAGTTGCAAGGAGCATCGGTGTTTTCAAAGATTGATTTGAGGTCTGGCTATCATCAGTTAAAGGTGAAGGAATCAGATATACCCAAGACAGCTTTCAGAACACGGTATGGACATTATGAGTTTTTGGTTATGCCATTTGGATTAACCAATGGTCCAGCGGCTTTCATGGATTTGATGAACCATGTGTTTAAGGATTTTCTTGATAAGTTTGTCATTATTTTTATTGATGACATACTTATTTATTCTCGGACTCATGAGGAGTATTGTGAACACTTGAGAATAGTTTTGCAAATTTTGAAGGAGAAACAACTATTTGCAAAATTCAAGAAGTGTGAGTTTTGGCTAGAGAAAGTATCTTTTCTTGGTCATATTATTTCAAAGGATGGAATTTCTATGGATCCTAGCAAAGTCGAAGCTGTTAGTGTTTGGCCTAGACCAAACAATGTCTCTGAAGTTCGTAGTTTCTTTGGCTTGGCAGGTTACTATAGACGATTTATTGAAGGTTTCTCTAAAATTGCTACTCCTCTAACTGCTTTGACGAGGAAGAATGTGAAGTTCACTTGGTCTGATGCATGTGAAGAAAGTTTCTAGGAATTAAAGAAGCGATTGATCTCTGCTCCGGTGTTAGCTCTTCCGTCAGGGATTGATGGTTTTGCTATCTATAGCGATGCTTCAAAGAATGGTTTGGGTTGCGTGCTTAAGCAAAATGGGAAGGTGATAGCTTATGCTTCACGTCAGTTGAAAAGTTATGAGAAGAATTACCCTACTCACGATTTGGAGCTAGCTGTTGTTGTCTTTGCTCTCAAGATTTGGCGTCATTATCTTTATGGTGAGCACTGTGAGATATATTCTGACCACAAGAGTTTAAAGTATTTATTCTCACATAAGGAATTGAATATGAGACAACGAAGATGGTTAGAACTGGTTAAGGATTATGATTGTGTCATTAATTATCATCCTGGCAAGGCTAATATGGTGGCGGATGCTCTTAGTAGGAAGTCAGCTGTTGTTGGTTCAGAACAACATTCTTCATTTGCAGAATTAAGTAGAATGGAAATTGAAGTGGTTTCTCAAGAAACAAAGGCTAAGCTTTCAGCTTTAGTGTTACAGCCAAGTATCATCGATAAGATTAAGCAAAGTCAAGATTCAGATCCTTATTTGGTTCATATGAAAAAGAAGGTTCAAGTTGGCAAAAAGAATGACTTTCAAGTATCTGATGAGGGTGTGATCTTTTGTGGTAATAGGCTGTGTGTGCCCAAGATTAAGGAATTGAAGAAGGAGATTTTAGATGAGGCTCATACATCTCCTTACTCAGTTCATCCAGGGAGCACGAAAATGTATAAAGATTTGAGACTCCATGTTTGGTGACCAAAGATGAAGTACGAAGTAGCAAAGTATGTTCAGAACTGTCTCACTTGTCAGCAAGTCAAGATAGAACATCAGAGGCCTTCAGGGAAGTTGAAACCACTTTTTATCCCAGAATGGAAATGGGAGCATGTTACCATGGATTTTGTCATATGATTGCCAAGGACACAGAAGAAGTTTAATGCTATTTGGGTTATTGTAGATCGACTTACAAAGTCTGCTCATTTTCTTCCAATACGGAATACTTTCAGTATGGATCAGTATGCACAGCTTTATATCGAAGAGATTATCAGGCTTCATGGATCACCTGTATCCATTATTTCTGATCGTGACCCAAAATTCACTTCAGCATTTTGGAAAAGTTTACATTCAGCTATGGGAACACGCTTGTCTTTCAGCATGGCTTATCATCCTCAAACCGATAGACAATCAGAGAGAATTATCCAGACTTTAGAGGACATGCTTAGAGCTTGTGTTCTTGATTTTTCAACTTCATGGGATAAAAAGCTACCTTTAGTTGAGTTCTCCTACAATAATAGTTATCATTCAACTATTGGTATGGCTCCATACAAGGCATTGTATGGTAGGAAGTGCAGATCTCCGATTCATTGGAATGAGGTTGGAGAAAGGAAAGTGTTGGGTCTAGAATTGGTTCATAAAACAGTTGATGCTATTGACAAGATTCGAAAAAGGATGAAAGCAGTTCAAAGTCGATCAAAGAGTTATGCCGATAAGCATAGAAATGATCTTGAATTTAAAGTTGGTGACAAGGTCTTTCTCAAAGTTGCTCCAATGAAGGGAGTTATAAGATTTGGACAGAAAGGAAAGCTCAGTCCTAGGTATATAGGGCCTTTTGAGATTTTGAAAAGAGTAGGAAAACTTGCTTATGAGTTAGCTCTTCCACCATCATTGTCTGGTATTCATGGTACATTTCATGTTTCTATGCTCCACAAGTATATAGCTGATCCATCTCATGTTTTGAAGTATGAAGCTTTGGAGTTGAAACCAAATTTGTCATACAAAGAAAAACCAGTTCAGATTCTTGATAGAAGACTTAAGGAATTAAGAAACAAGAGCATCCCTTTGGTCAAGGTTCTTTGGAGAAATCAATTAGTAGAGGAAGCCACTTGGGAAAAAGAGGATGAGATGAAGATCAAGTATCCAGAACTTTTTGGTAAGCTAAATTTCGAGGACGAAATTTGTTAAGGAGGGGAGAATTGTAATACCCAAGATTTAATTAAGCCTTAAGCCAATAATAAACAAATTAAATAAATTAAAATCATGCATCACATTTACCATTTACCTTAAAGTTATTTGTTGGCATTATATTTTATTATGATAGCTATCATATGATTTTATTAAACTTATAGCTTCGCTAATCGAGTTTTCAGTTTTAATGTGCAGTACAACTAGCTCGATGTGGGAACTCAATGCACTAAACTTATGAAGAAAAGGAATTATATATATTATGATTATTTGATATGATATTTTACCTCTATTATGATTGCTTTAATGATGAATTATTATTATTTTTTTATTATATGGTTTTGTGTAAATGTGTTGAGGACTTAGTTGCTATTTTGAGTTTTTGTGAAAGAAGACTATTTTAGCAAATTGAGTGAACTTTAGGCACCTAAATGAAGAAGAAAAATAGAGACTTTAGAGCTGATTTTATGAGGTTAGGACAAATGTTAGAGACTTTGAAAAACCTAGACACTTGTCCTACTATAAGGTCACTTTACTTTTGCTTGGTCTCTATCATGTATAGACTTCATTTTTGGGTCTATTTCAGCAAAAAAAACCTAGAACTCTGACCCTAACATTTACTTCTCTCTTCACACTCCTTTTCTCACCCAAAACTCAGAACCAAACCTAGGTTTTCAAGAGAGAATGAGCTAAAACTCAACCAGCCCATTTCAACTCCTTTTCAACCTAGAACCAAAAATAACCACCAAGGTTTTGAGCTTCTATTCACTTGGGAACACGTTTTTCTTTGAGGTAACTTCTTTCTTATGTTAGAAACTAAGATTTCAGAGATTAAAATGTTGAAATCCTACTTGAGATTCAGATTTTTGATGGGGTTTATCATGCATGTTGGTTGTAGACTCTTAAAAATGAGTTTCTTGAGGTTTTGGTTCAAATATTAGTTTCTGGGTGAAATTAATGATTTTAGCTTGATATTATTCATGATTATTTGAAGATAAACTCTTATTAAGATGATGATTCATGCATTTTTTGAGTGGTATTTGAAGATTAAGATCTGCATGCTAGGTATTTGATGAAATGTTCAAATATAAGTTCTCTGTACAGCCTATGTAGATTTTGTTTTTGTGCTATATATACATATGATTTTGACTGATCTTATATTTTTCTATTAAATTATACATCTTAAGCTTTACGTGAGTTTTTGAATCACTCTAAACGGATTTTTCTACATTTAGTTATGAATTTTATAAGTTCAGTTAAAAAGCTTCAATTTTGCTGACGAGATTATACTTCAATATGGATTTCGGGCTGTTTTTTATTAGTTTGAAAAAAATCTGAAACCTATCATGTAGTAGCTCTAAAAAGAGGGTTTTTAGTATACTTTTATTTGCCACTGGTCTCATAATATTTTGAGTTTTGATGAATTTGTTATGAATATTTTCGTAACAATGCGTAGTTATGTGTTTTGTTAAATGATGATATGAATGTGATTTTTGAAAGCTGTAGTTTTTAAAGGTTAATTAGCACATTGAAGGCTCCCTACA